TTTTTTTTTTTTTTTTTAATATGAATAGTGATATTATAGTTGTTAGTTGGAGCAATTTTCTTGAAAGCCCATATTTTTGGCCATTTTCTAGAAAGTCCTAATGTCAATGACACGTTAATCAATAACAGACATTAAAAACAACTAGGGAGTAACTATTTGTATTTGTCTAAATTAATTATCCTATTCCTACCAGCTAAAGTCGCAAATATATGTATTATTGTATTATGAGTAATATACCCACTACATACTTTTTTATAGAATAATTGCAACTTACGTCCAGCAAAGATGAACATTTAATAATGTTCTCGTGACCTTGTGGTCATTTCTCTTTTATAATAAATTTCTCATGTAAAACTTAATAGATATGAGATTTAAATTCAACCATGAACATTTAATAAAAGAAAAAAAAGATGAACATCCGTTGTTCTTGTTGTCATTTGCATTTAATGAAGAATATTGTCAATTTTGAGGAAAGGAGTGTTTTGTTTAAAAATTAAAAAACAAATGAGTACATCTTAGTCGATCAGTTTATATATTTTAAATATATATAATAATAATTATTATTAAATATTAATTATTAACTATTAATTATATCAAAATAATTAATTCAAACACATTTAAAAGTACCCTTTTTTTTTTTCTCTTATACAACTGTGAGGAGGCACCTCTTCTGGTTGAAAATTAGCATTGTCCGTATTCGTCCAAATTCTCAAAGAATAATGATACATGAGATGAAGCAATGAAACAAAATAATAAGATATATTTGAATTGACATATTATCTCAGCAAAATATTAAAAATTGAGTCTCACATCTTTATTCTTGGCATCTTCCATTTTCCTCTTTTAAATCTCATATTTTTCACGTCACTTTGTTTCTCTCAAATTCGTCTCAAATCTCACTTTGCCTCAAATCTCATACGATGACGTGAGATCCAATTTTTAATATTTTGGTGAGGTAGCGTGCCAACCTAAACTTGTCTGATTATTTCGTCTTCTTACTTCGTTCCGTGCATCATTGTTCATTTTCAAATCTTATGGTCGGTCCATTTAAAGTTGTACCATAATAATAACTACTACATACTGCAACTCAGTACTATTTTTCTCAATTTCAACGTTCCTTATTTTATTTATTTATTTTTAGAATTTTTTAAAATTTCATCGTAAGCGGGGACGCAAGTTCTGTACTCATTGCGCGAGCGGAGTTCTCTCCCTGTGGATGAAACATAGCAGCTGGAGTAATAGTCAAATTCCAATCTATCTTCCCACCTGAGTGCTACGAAGAAAACCAATAAACTCGATCACCAAGGTAAAAGATTGAAGCTTTCTCTCCAACAGAAACGTGTTATTGATTTAAATGATGCTTCCTCCTGATCGTAACGTTTGTGAATGTTAGTATTTTTCATGGCTTTTTTGTATGTCCAAGAGTTTCTGGCATGTCTAAAGCTTGAATCAGAGGTATGGTTTTGTTGTTGTTTGTTGTGTAATGGGTATTGGGTTGTTGTGTTTTTGGTGTTGAATTTTTTTGTATTACCCTCAGTAGTATTCGATGGTCACATTATAACCTACTAATCCGGCATCAACCACGCCGGACCCTTATGGGAACCTCTCCCAACTTTTTTTTTATTTACAAACCTCCAACTCAAGACCTTAGGAACTATGCTCCTTCCACTAGGACCCAACAGGTCGTTGGTTGTGTTTTTGGTGTTGATGGCAATATATACTTGGATTGGTGTTGATGATTTCCGAGTTTCTGGGTATTGGTTTTTGCGACTGAATTACTTCGGAATGTATAACTGAAGAGGGTATTGCTTATCTTTGTATGTTTGTGGGAGTACAGCTCCGTTTGGTTTGGTGGTTGTTGAAATAAGTTAGAAAACTATAACTGAATAAAGGAAAATCGATTTTGAGTACCAACTATCCAAAAGAAAATATATTTAGAGCAATTCTTAGCTCTGATTTTTGTTGGGTGTATTATTTTAAAGATGAAAGGCAGACATATATATATATATAGATATATATTAATATATATATTTTTCCTTTTTTTTTCTTTCCATATAAAAAGTAAAAGAGATTTTTAATTGTTTTGAGAAAGAAGAATTTCTGAAAAAAATACCAGATGGTAAATCCATCTTCTCTCTCTATGGTCTCTGTTGGTGGGAAGTTTCATTTGAGGCTAAATTTGTTTTAGAGGTTGCAGGCACAGAATTGTTGAAGGTATCTTTGTGGCTAATAAATACGAAGGCAGTGAGTGGTGGATTAAGAGTAGGTGTGGAGACGCAATAAGGACATGGCTTTCAAGCCATTGATTTGGTTTTGCCAGCCGGTGGCTAACGGGGTGTGGACTAGAGCAGTGGCTAATGCTTTTGGTGCATACACGCCCTGTGCAACTGATTCTCTGGTCATCAGTATATCTCACTTGGTGCTATTGGCTCTGTGCATCTATCGAATATGGCTGATCAAGAAGGATTTCAAAGTCCAACGGTTCTGTCTGAGGTCAAAGTACTATAATTATTTTTTGGCATTGTTGGCTAGTTATTCTACTGCTGAGCCACTGTACAGATTGATAATGGGTATTTCAGTTTTGAATCTAGATGGACAGACTGGACTTGCTCCGTATGAGGTTGGTTACAATCTTATGCTACATATATATTGGCTTGGAGTTTTTCTGTTTTTGTTTTAACTACTGCATATGTTATGATTTTAAATGAGAAAATGATCAAACTTGATATCTATGAGCTCAAATTTCCATGTGAAATTGGTTTACATATACAAACTCCTGTCAGATTTTAATTTTGGTTTTGTTGTGATAGAATCAACATGGATATGTGGTTGGAATAATTTCTCCTTTGATCGGAAATAATTTAGATTATGGTAGTGAGAATGTATTTTTCTTTTCTGGCTAAATCTGACAGTAATAAGTAAATTGCTAGAGATGGATTGTTAGTTTCTCAGTGTTGTCACTGCCAATGTCTCCTGATAGTTTGCATTCCTGCTCATCCCAAGTCAAGAAAATTGTCTGAAACAGCTTCATTTTATCTAAAATTGTTGGCAAATATGTAAAATGATTGCTTTTGAGCCTCCCACCATAAAGGATGGTTAAAATCAGGTCCAGTAATCCCACACATATATGAAGCATCTGAGTTTCATTCTCTTTATTCAGATTGTCTCCGTGATAATTGAAGCTCTTACTTGGTGCTCTCTGCTGGTGATGACTGGAGTGGAAACTAAAGTCTACATCCATGAATCTCGATGGTTTGTCAGATTTGCACTTGTTTATTCTTTGGTAGGGGATGCAGTGATGCTCAATCTCATTTTCACAGTGAAGGAGTTCTATAATAGGTTTGTTTTTTTCAGTTACCTAAATCTTTCTCTCTTGTTGGATTGAGATGATCTCTCTAGCTTTTAAGAGTGTCTTTTTCCTCCTTTAAGGTCATTGTGATCAATTATCATTCATATTGGATGTTGCATAACAGATATTGATTATGTTTTTGCAGCTCTGTTCTGTATCTGTATCTCAGTGAGGTCTTGGTTCAGGTTTGTCATCTTAAATTCCTCCATCATAAAGGTTTTGGATTTTTCATTCTTGTTTTCCTTTTGGAAATTGCAGTATCTGACATTGTTCTGTCTCTTAAAATGTCAAAGAAATGTCCAATCTGAATGTTAGCTCCAAAATATGCCAATCTTCGTCCTTAACTGATATTAACATATTTCTGTGCTTAGATAAGTCATGGTAAACTATAGTTGGATTGACTTGAGTTGTTCAAGAAAAAGGAAAAAAAAAAAAGGAGCTGGAATTATTTAGATTTGATGTTGCCTAGAGATACAGTGATTATGCTGTCAATGCACCCTTCAAGAAGATGGTAAGTTTTGTCTCACATGTTAAGCGTACTTTTAGGACAGAGATAGCTTTTCTCAGTCTGCATATGATAGTATTATCCAAATTCCAATGAGATAGTATTTCAATGGAGTTAGTTTACGTTTCTCCATTTCATTTTTAAAGATATTGCCATTGTTGATTCAGGTTTTGTTTGGGATACTCTTGCTTGTATACATCCCTGCTTTGGATCCTTACCCCTGTTACACACCAATGAGAAGTGAATCAGTTGATGATACTGAATATGAAGAACTTCCTGGAGGAGAGCAAATATGTCCTGAGAGGCATGTCAATATATTATCCAGTGAGTATCTATTCCTTTATATGCGTTCTAATTTGCTGGTACTCAGAAATACTGAATCAATTGCTTTTATAATTAGCATATGTTGTGCTGGAAAAGACTAGTAAAGGTTAAGCTAGCTTTGATCTTTCCAGCAGCCTTTCTCCACTTTTCTTGTTAAACCTGTTGCACAAACTGGTTAGGAGATAGGAGTTTATTCAATGGGAAAAAATTGTACTTTGATTTTTCTGATTCTCTGTTGCTCCTTTTTCTGGTTTGGCAGGAATATTCTTTTCATGGATGAGTCCCCTCATGAAGTTAGGGTATAAACGACCTATTACAGAGAAGGATGTCTGGAAGTTGGACACATGGGATAGGACAGAAACGTTGAATGAAAAGTGCATGCTAGTGTTTTCCTTTGTCTGGTTTTTCAGAATTATTCATATGGCAAGGTTGATTGATTTTTTTCCTTTTTCTTTTTTCTAACTTTGTAGGTTTTGGAAATGTTGGGCTAAAGAAATGCGAAGGCCTAATCCATGGCTTTTAAGAGCATTAAATAGTAGCCTTGGGGGAAGGTAGGTAAAAAGAGCAGCTGATTGTCTCTTGTGATATTTGGTTGTAACTTGTAAGGTTGAATTTAGTCTGTATCCCTTTCCTTGACAATAAATTAGTTAATTTGAAAATGGAAAGAAAATGGCAAATTGATTAAATAATGCAAATTCTAAAAGTAGGACAAACACAATCAATATGGCTAATTGATTTCTCATGAGTGGTAAAGTCTCTTTGAATCTATATTTGGTTCAAAGTTACTAATATGATTAGAACTTATAAAAATGACATGCTGTCAAGCTTTCTTAGACCTTTCACTGATGGGATATCATGTTTGTTTAATGCTCATGGTGTTATGTGTATGTGGAATAATCAAGTAAAGAATCCTCAATCTTTGTTTTTGGTCTGAACCAAAATTTGGTATGGAAAATACAAATCTGTATGTTTTAGGCACACTGGAAATGCAAACAAAAAGGATGAAATAATACTAGTGGCAAAAGTATTGTTTGTTCAGAAAATTTTTCATTTTGTATATGCTTATTTGATTCACTACCTCTCTGCTTTTTGTAGGTTTTGGTGGGGGGGTTTCTGGAAGGTAACCGGGTCATTTTCTTTATGTTGCATTTGGATCTTTCTCTTTTCCAGATTATAGTGCAATATGCAACCAATAAACATACTTCTTAGGGCTGGATGTTTCATAATAATGCTTCTTTATTTTTCAACATATAGATTGGCAATGATCTCTCCCAGTTTCTTGGGCCACTTATTTTGAATTGCCTCTTACAGGTTGGTTATGCGTCTATGATTAACTGGACAAGTGATCTGCCAATTCCTTCTCCCTATTTTCCTTTTTCTATTTAACCTTGAAATTTTAAGCTCTTTATCCCTTCTTTTCACTTATGTTTGTTTGATGAACTGTTTGCAGTCAATGCAACAAGGTGATCCAGCTTGGATTGGTTACATCTATGCATTCTCAATTTTTGCTGGAGTGGTAAGAAATTAATTCTTTGTTACATTTTGTGATTTATAATTATATTTTATGCCTTTTGAAGTTTGTTGCTTACACTCTTTACCTTGTCAAATGTCAAGTAATTAGAGATGGTCCCAATTCTATTGCAACATGGGCTTAACTATGTTATTTGATACAGGCTCTTGGGGTATTATGTGAAGCACAGTATTTTCAGAATGTCATGCGTGTTGGTTTTCGGTTGAGATCTACCTTGGTAATTTTATAAATTTGATGACCATTTTATTTTAATTAGTCTTCATTGTCTTTTGCAATATCATAGCAAGCATTTAGAACACTTTCCATGGTTCTTTTCCCCAATATTATATTTTTCTGAACAGGTTGGTTTATTCTGTAGGTTGCTGCTGTATTCAGAAAATCTCTTAGGCTAACCCATGAAAGTCGTAAGAAATTCACATCTGGAAAAATAACCAACTTGATG